GATATGTCCCGTAAAATTAAGAGACTTTGTTGAATTGTAATTTTGTGTTTGTAATTCTGTAAATTTAATTAAGTTATTGTTAATTGTTATTGGGTTATTATATGTGGTTATTGTTCGGGACGAACAATATTAAGGAGGGGGCAGTGTTGCGTCAGCGAGATCATGTGACTATTTTCAAGCCCTCTGCTTTCTAGAACTATCCTGTACCTTGGCGAATGCTCTAGCATTTACTAGATATAGGGTAGTCTGGTACATAAAAGAGGGTGACAACGTGACGAAAGAATGTTTGTGTGTGTGTGTAGACAGTGAGTAATTGATCCGCAGTCAGAGAGTATTATTGAGCACGTTCGTTGTTATAGCGTTTGTTTTAGCGTGATTGTTGAAATTAAGTGTATCGTAAAGTTATATTCGAAAAGAATAAACCAGTCTTATTAAGTAAGGACTTGTGTCGCTAAAGTTTCGTTACGGAAAATTAATTAACAAACGGAGACGTAACAGTATGTTCGCTCTCTGGTTAATTGATGTGTATAGGATAGCATTTGATTACGAATCGCCTAATATTAATATTAACAATATTAATCTTATTAAAATCAGTCAAGAATAATTTTAGTTAGTTTTAATCCTATAACAAAGCATCTAATTGGTAACATCCTATTACCTATGACTTACACAAAACTCAAAACATGGGATTGTTCCAAGCAAATTAACAAAAGTTGACCATTTTAAGTCTAATTTAGTCATGGGGTCAAAACTTCTACAGCATTGGTTAATGGGTGACCTTTAACTTTTTTAATCAACCTTCAACTCAACAATTGTTTGTGCTAGGGACTTGTGTTATGAGGATTCCAAAGATGGTGTATAAATGCTTTGGAAAACACACAAAATAGTTTTTGTTTCTATCTCTCAAAAAAATTAATACTTAGGGATAGAACAAATATCTGATCTGATCAGTATTAAACTATCAGATGAATTTGTTATCATATCAGATATTAACTTGGCAATGAATCAGATAGCATTCTATCAGAATATTATCTCACAATATTACACAAGCATGATACTAGATATTATATCTTCTAGCCTAGTGGTGCTCTACTAGCTTCTAAACTCAGTAGCATTTTTTCCCCAGTGTTAAAAGAGTGGGTACCCTGGTAGTCATAATAGTTATTATACGGAGAGTCATTATATAGTTTAGATCAACATTAAAGGGTCTACAGTAGCCACTAAAGATGGGCAAGTAGTAAAATTTGTTGATTGATTAATTGTTAGGGTGATTAATTAGTTACATTCAACTAATTGATTATTCTCATGAGATGGCTAAAAGTACAAACTAGTCCATTATCCTCACAAAATGGATAAAAAAAAATTTGATTTTAAAAATTAGGTTTCAATACCTGAGGTAGCCAGAGCACAGCTAGCCCATTGTGTAGTTTTGTGCATAACAATAGGCAAACATAGTGACAATATATAGATTACTTGTATTGTTGGAATAATCAAAAATAGTAATAAGTGGAAACCCTAATTTTGATTAATTGATTATTTTCATGAGTCTTGATACTAGTTGATTAAGATAATAATGAAAAATCATTACAACATTAGTTGATTATTAATTGATTTAACCATAATTTTGCTTACTGGATGGTTGGAGTAATTGAAAACAGTAATAATTGAAACACTAATTTTGATTAGTGACATTAATTGATTGAATTGTAAGTTTGCTTAAATGATCATTAATTGATGTAATTGATGCTTGTAGGCAATTGATCATATTGATTAATCAGTTTTATTGCTCAACTCAAGTAGCCATTCACTCATCTAAAACTGTACATTTGAGAAAAAATCAGTGACTGTAAAGAAACAGTAGCTTATACCTGTGGCACATTTTTAGTATGTACTGTTACTTCTACTATCTGATCAAATATCAGGAGCTGGATATCTGATATCTAACCAAAACTGTTATTTGTCCCATCTCTAGTTATATCCTTTACATACTGCACAAAAGAAAAAATCATACATAATTTACCCCTTCCGTTTTCAAGAAATAAGATTTATGTTAAAAACAAAATAACTGTGAATAGCTGAAGCATATATTATTTCAAATTGGATTATATGACTGTATGACTGTGATTTCCTTCCAGATGAAAACTTCTTTCTCTGACCCCACTCTATTTCAGTAATTTTTAAGTCTCAG